AGTGCCTTGGACGGATCACCCTGAAGGGACCAATTTCCCTTTCTTGACTAGAGAGGGCTTCTACACAATAACTGTTGACTTGATACAGAATTTTTTGATGGCTACACTTAGAATTTAATACATAGTAATTTGAAGTTCTAAAAGATGTTTTATTTTATAATCAGTAATTTGAAGCTATGGTACAAATCTTCCCATTGGTATTCACTGGAAGAATGAGCTCATATCTAATTAAGATGAAGCCACATGAGCCTTGTTGTCTTGTTCCCTTTGTTTCACAAGTCCCTTGACAATAAATCTTTATTAGTGAGAGAACACTGAAATTGTGCAAAACTAAGGTGAAGGCCAAAATCTGTAGCATTTCCTTTTCCCTTGTTAATGAAAAGCTGCAACAGATAAAAGATTCTAATTTTGTATTATAGACAACCATGACAGCACAGATTATGCAAGAGCTGCACTGCTCTTGTAGATAAAGGCAGTAAGAAGATTCAATGACTTTGCCTCTGATGATACATTGATTTAGGTTCACTCATTAGAAAAGTATAATTTAACAACACCAGAGATTCTAAGGTCAAGAAATCATTGTAAAAAGAACTTTGGTGTTTGTGCTTATTAATGAACAAGGGGTGGCTAGACAGTAACACAGAATATCATCTATGATGTAACAAGTATTACAGCTGTGTATTTTAGACACTATAACCATCTAATTCTGGAAGCCCCTCACAGGAATTCATAGAATCACAGAGTGCCCTGTAATTTGAGCACAGTAGTTATTAAAATGTTTATGCTGTAGCTTAGAATTTTAACAATTTAATGACAATTAAATTTAAATTTTAAAAATTTAATAGAATTGATCGTGATTTCAGGGAAGATTTGAACTACTGTGCTATACACTGCCTTGCTCTGACACTTCCTGAAAGTAAAGCAGAAAGAAAGAGGGAGTATGAATTTACTGTATTTTTAGAATTCTAGAAAGATCCCTTAAGCTTAACTGTGGGGATGTTAAGGCAGACTGTCAAAACTGTACAGAAAATTATAAACACTGGAAGATAAAACACATAAGATGGCAATAATTTGAAAAAAAAAATTGAAGAACAATTATTCCAATTTGTAAGATGACAATATGTATTTCTACTAAACACTAAAACAATAAGCAAAACTTGACTTACATATTTCATGTACACATTATTCTTTGACTCATTTAACTGCTTTCATGCTTTGGTATTTTGATTCCTTTCAGCTGAAAAGGTCTGTGCTGTCAACTGGGAAACTCTGGAAGACTTCTAGGTATACCATTTATACCATACTGTTCTTTTGGTACATTATTTAATGATGTGTGAAAGCATTTTTGGCCATGGCAGGCTGGATTTCTCTTGAATGTTCTCAGATTATTCTCATATGATGAACTGACACTTAATTTCAGTGAAAACACAGAACAAAAAAAACTTCACAGTCTATTCTGCTGGGCCTTATTCATAACTCAGGGAAGATCTAAACTGGAGTATGCCCTAAGACTTGTTCTCAAGAAGTCCCCAAAACACAATCTGATGAACACGGAACAACAGAGCACAAGGAAATTCTGCTAGTAGATGTTGTAGCTGGTACATTACTGCTGCAGAAAAGAGTGAGTTACCTAAAAAATTAGTTCACAGTAGCATGAATTTGCTTGATTTCCCAGTGTATCAGATACTTGGAACAATTACTTTGTGTGTGCAAACTTCGGTTTCATTCTTGCTGGGTCTATAAGGCTGAGGATATTTTCCTTTCACTTACAAAGATCTGTTAACCCTTTTAAAATAGATTTGAATGTAAACAAGTTGGTTAACTGATGAGCTCAGCAGTTCCAGCTGCCTGGAGGACACTGAGAAATGTATAGATTTGGCACTGAGAGACATGGGTGAGTGGGCATGGGTGGTGATAGGTTGATGGTTGGACTAGATGGTCTTAGAGTCATCCTTAGAAACCTAGAGTTCAACCTTAAAAATTCTATGATTCTATATGCAATTACTAGCTAAAATTGACAGAATATATCATCAGCTGACCTTACAATCTCTTTGCTAGGAAACCTAAAACTCAAATAAACTGTGTCTCCCATCAATTACAGCACAGTCCATACCCTACAAAGCAGTACATTTATTTAGTAATTTACTTCAAAATACCCAAATATTTTGAAGTTGACTCCAACCACATTCTTTTAATTCATAAGTCTGTCTGAGATAGGCAATTATTTATACATCCATCCAACTTATGCATGTACATATAGAAAAGACTTTCACTATCTTCTCTAAACTTTCTGTAAATCTATTATTAATCTTCAAATTTAATGATATGAGTACATATTAGTGTAGTGACATAAAAAGCATATCATATTCAATAAAACAAAGACATTTCTCATTTGGGGAATATCAAATATCCATTGGTATATTCATTCTGATGAAAATACTGAGTACTGTCCTGAAGCACAGTGAGAATAGGTTTCTAAATGTTCTGCATCAAACACTCGTGTGACTTCAGTGAAGAAACATTTTGTGATATGCAGTGGTCAGTGTGGCCAAAGAGTCCCCAATTTCATATGACCTTAAAAATGTGGACGTTTGATGATGAGAATAGCTTTATTTTGATTTCTAGTATGTAGAAAATTTTTCTCCTACATCTTATATACTCTTGACAGTCTCTCTTTGAAAGTATACAAGATACACTTAAATCAATAAGCTTTCTAAATTACTCTTTAAACAAGAAAGCTACAACAAAAGCTTAAACACCCTCTCCACATATGAGTGATACATTAGTTTAAAACATTTCTTTCATATTGTAAGATTTCCAAAATGCTGGTTATATTACCCATCTTGGGGTAACAGTAATATTGTGTCCTATAAATAAGTTATGTATGAAAGAGTTTGTATTCATGTTGTATTAAATAAATTTGAATTTATTTTACTCATGTTATTCTACCATCACCATTAGTAGGATACCTGAACAACTTTTTCAGTACACAAGGTACAAACGCCTGTGCAAATTTAGCAATGATGTAACTCACTAAATCTTGCACTATTCTGATTTGTGTTGAAGATCCTGGATGGTGTCAGAAGAGTAACACAGAATATCACTTTTTTCCTGATTATCTCTGAGATCATCAGAAACAAATGGCATTTCTGCATTACGCTACTTCAGTATGCTTCAATTGACATTGGTTTAATTAAATTCTTGTACCATTTTTGTTGTGGTCACAGTTGTCCATAAAGCCATTGTACTGCCTTTAACATATTTCTTTTTATGTGACTCAGATTTTATGCTGGTACTTCAGAAGACCAACCTGGCTGAACAGAGAACTTCTCTGGAACTTAGGAAAAAAAAGTGTTTATGACCTTTTTGAAGGTAAGGGCAAGAGAACTACAAAGGTGTGAGATTATGCAAGGACCAAATTAGAAGAACCAAAGACCAGAATGAGATTAATTTAGCCTCTAATGTAAAAGACAAAAATATTTTTAGAAGTACATAAACCAGAAAGTTTTATGAGGAATCTCCATCTTTTATTTGATACATAGAGGGAGAACATAGTAACAAGAGATGAGTAAAGGGCTGAGGTACTTAATGCCTTCTTTTCCTTTATCTTTATTAGAAAAACTAATTCTTCTTAGGGTATCCAGTTCACTGAGCTGGAAGTCAGAGACAAAATGAAGCCTTCATAATCCAAGGGGAAATGGTGAGCAAAGTACTGCACCACTTGGAAATACACAGATCTATGGGGCCAGATGGGAACCATCCAAAGACACTGAAGTAAGTAGTGGAAGCCCTTACCAAGCTGCTTTCAAAAATTTACCAGCAGTTTTGACTAGACGTAGAGGAACCAGCTGACTTAACATTAGTGAATGTGACACCCATCTGCAGGGTGGACTCCGAAATTTCAGGTCTGTCAGTCTGACCTTGGGGCTAGCAAAGATCATGGAGAAGATCATGTTGATTGCCATCACATGGCACTTGTAGGACAATCAGCTGGTCAGACCCAGTCATAATGGGTTTAAGAAAAGCAAGATCTGTTGGACTAACCTGATCTCTTTCTTGTCCACTAAGACTCTTTCTTGTCTTTGTGGACAAGTGAAAGGCTGTGGGTGTTTATTGCTGATAGCTGACTGAATACCAGTGAGCCTACATTTTGAATATTGTGTTCAGTTTGAGATCCTCACAAGAAGATTATGGAGTAGTTTGAGCCTGTCCAGAGAAGAAAAACAAAAGTGGTGAAGGGTCTAGTAAATAAGAGTAAGAAGGTGTGACTGAGGGAACTGGGGCTGTTTAGCCTGGAGAAAAGGAAGCTGCAGGGAGATGTCATCACTCTATAGCTCTTGAAAGGAGGTTGCAGTTGGGAAAGTATGTTTACTCAGAAGACAACTGATGAGGCACAAGGTAATGGTTTCAAGTTGCACGAGAGTAGGCTTAGATTGGCTGTCAGGAGGAATTTCTTCAGAGAAAGGATGGTTGGGTTTTGGTACTGGCTGACTGGGGAAATGGTAGAGTCCCCATCCCTGGAGGTATTTAAGATGTGAATGTGTAATTAAGGGGTGGAACTCAGTAGGTTAGTTTGGTGGTTGAACTTGATGATTTTAAGAGTCTTTTCCAACATTAATTATTCAGTGTTTTAGTATTTCTCTTGTTCAATGAATATCCTTCCTCAGGCTGATAATACGTAAAGTATCTCTTCAAAGATCTTACTAAATAAAACACAAATGATCTTAGGAAATTCTTAGCTATAGACTACCTTAGTGTTAGAAAGAAAGTAGTGGCAAATAGCTAACGTATGCAAAAATAATTTGTAAGTTGGCCTTTTGTCAAATCATTTCTAAAAATCACAGAATCACAGAATCACCCGGTTTGGAAGGGACCTCAAGGATCATATAGTTCCAACCCCCCTGCCTAGCAGGGCCACCAAACGTACACATTCAGATCAGGTTGCCCAGGACCCCGTCCAACCTGGCCTTGAACACGTCCAAGGACGGGGCATCCACAACCTCCCTGGGCAGCCCGTTCCAGGGCCTAACTACTCTCCTTGTGAAGAACTTCTCCCTAACATCCAACCTAAATCTTTCCTCTTTCAACTTGGATCCATTTCCCCTAGTCCTGCTGTTGTCAGCCCTTTTGAAGAGTTTACTCCCCTCCTGGGTGTAGGTTCCCTTCAGGTATTGATAGGCTGCAATGAGGTCACCCCGCAGTCTTCTCTTCTCCAGGCTGAACAAGCCCAACTCCCTCAGCCTGTCCTCATAGGGGAGGTGCTCCAGCCCCCTGATCATCTTAGTCGCCCTCCTCTGGGCCCTTTCCAAAATCTCTGTGTCTTTCTTGTACTGAGGGCTCCACACCTGGACACAGTACTCCAGATGGGGCCTCACAAGAGCCGAGTAGAGAGGAACAATCACCTCCCTCTCCCTGCTGACCACCCCTCTCCTGATGGAGCCCAGGATCCCATTTGCCTTTCGAGCTGCCAGAGCGCACTGCTGGCTCATGTTCAGTCTCTCGTCCATCAGGACCCCGAGGTCCTTCTCTGCCGAGCTGCTCTCAAGGACCACTCCTCCCAGCCTGTACGGGTGCCTGGGGTTCTTCCGGCCCAAATGCAAAACCTTGCACTTTGCCGTGTTGAACCTCATTAGGTTCACCGGAGCCCAGCCCTCCAGCCTGTCGAGGTCCCTCTGAATGGCATCCCTTCCTTCCACCGTATCAACCGCACCACTCAGCTCGGTGTCGTCAGCAAACTTGCTGAGGGTGCACTCAATTCCCTCATCGATGTCATTAATAAAGATGTTAAAGAGCACCGGTCCCAAGACAGACCCTTGGGGGACACCACTTGTTACCGGCCTCCACCTGGACATAGAGCCATTGACCACCACCCTCTGTCTGCGGCCTTTCAACCCATTGCTTATCCATCGGGTCGTCCACCCATCAAATCCACTTCCCTCCAATTTGGAGATGAGGATGTGGTGGGGGACCATGTCAAAGGCCTTGCTCAGGTCCAGGTAAATGACATCGGTCGCCTTCCCTTCGTCCACCAATGCCGTCACTCCATCATAGAAGGCCACAAGATTAGTCAGGCATGACCTTCCCTTGGTGAAGCCGTGCTGGCTGTCTCGGATCACATGCTCATTCTTTATGTGATCGAGCATGTTGTCCAGGAGGATCTGTTCCATGATCTTCCCAGGCACGGAGGTGAGACTCACCGGCCTGTAGTTCCCCGGGTCCTCCCTGCTCCCCTTCTTGTATATGGGATTGGAAAATGATTCTCAACATTTGCAGGATCACTCTTCTGTAATTTTCCTCATAATTATATTCACTCAAAGCATGTAGCTTTGCCTGATAATCTGTATTTATCTGAAATAAACTATAATTGTAGACTAAAAATAATAATTTTCCTCAGTGGTGTTTCAGCTATGAATCTGCATATGTAGACACAAACTCAGGCATTCACTGTATGACACAGACAAATTATTTTTAATCTCAAAGTAACTTAAACATACACAGCGCAAGCTGTTAAGGAGCGTACAAAAAAATCTGTTGTTGCTTCTTATAGGTCATGAAAAAAACCCTACAAAAAAGAATAAAAATAGATAAGAAAATAAATTTGGCATGGCTGATACTTACTGAACTGGATGGTTTTATTTTCTTTTGCATACTCTGAATATTAAACTCACTGTTCAGTTAGAATAGATAGAGTAGGTAGAAGGAAAAAAAGATAGTATTTCTATTAAAACTATTATTACATATACTTTGTACATACTGGTTATATTTAATAAAATCCCATACACAGTGACTAGACAGGATGCCTTGTAATTGGATGAAGGATTGTACAGCTGAGACCTGAATTACTTTGGTTATCCATACTTCTTTTCACTGATTTTGGAAAGAACAATATTTTCTTGACAGAAATATTTATACTTGTAAAAAGACACTGAGCTTAGAGACCACAGCCATTTTGAAGACACAGGTCCTTTACTTGTTGTTGACAATTTACAGGCTGGTTCAGCTCCCGTGAATAGTGGGGCGGAGGGATTTCATGAATCTGTGCCTCTGGAAAAGGGGAACAGGGGACCCCACAATAATTAAAAACAGCGGCAACGATCTGAGGAGAAACAAACTAATTTACTAAATATGCTATCGGAATGCAAGATAACACGCTATAATACAATATAATCAGAATTGAAGCTAATAAATCAAATATAATGAGAGAATGTCTGAAAGGTGGAATAGGCCTCACCATAACACTGGGGTGAGATGCGCAGTCCAGTTAAGCAGCAAGGAGGAGAGCCTGATAAAGAAGAGTGACTTTGCCAGGAGTTATACCTCCTCTCTGACCACAAAGCCCCCTTTGGTATGTAGATCTTCTCTTCCGGACAGGTGCCCAGAACTGGAGCATTAACACTTTAACTCCCAGTGCACTACATGATGTTATGATGTGGAATACCGACAACCAAAAATCATAAAACCGTGACACTTGCTTTGGTTAGGGAGGGATCAGAGTTTGGAACTAAGTATGGAAACTCTAAGAATTGTATTGGGAAGTCAGATAGGACTAACCTCTGTGTATGTGAAACCTGGGCAAAAAGCTATTCCTGAGCTAACTAGCAGCAAGAACTTTGTAGAAATGGTATTAAAACACATCAAATGCATTTTGTAAAAATATTTATTTTGAAAGAACCTCCTGGATATATTTTTTTCCTTCTTCATTTTAATACTTCAATCTTGTTCCCACTGAAGGATAGAGTTATACTATTAACCTTTTGTTTGCTTTAAATCATGGGTGTACTTTGTGAAAAACAGTTGACAGTTTCCAAAGGTATGAATTAGCAAGGTATGCATTAGCAAGGTATGAATTAGCAATTTTTCCTTATTTTGTCTGTAGAAACTTATAAAAATAATCCTTATTTCCTCAACTTCTCCTGTTCACCAATAAGAATATAATTAGGCATTATAGAGAAAATATCTTATTTGTAATAGAAGTTTTCATTCTTTCAATGAAAATGAAAATAAATCTGTTTGTGTAGTGGCCAGTAATATTTTGCATTCTTCCCCAGTGTGAGACAGCATCGAGTGCTGTTGAAATATCTGACATCTACTTGGTGTTGTTTACTGGAGGAAAAAAGAGCTTCCATAATTCATCCACTTGCATTATTTTATGTTTTTTTTCCCCTATCTGAAAGTTAACTGATTTTACATCTTTTATACATACACATCTATAAAATACATACAGGTAGGTATAATTCACCTTTAAAACCAGATCATAAAGAAATATGTCTTTTAATTCCTATCTACTTAATATATATGTCTTTAGAAGGTTGTCTATGTTACTTCCTGTACAGGCTTTGTATCATGTCTTCTGAATAATACCTAACTTTTAAGAATCTCAACTCACCTGCATCACAATAATTGAGCAATTCTTTGTGTCTTCTGTTAGCTTTCAGATCCTTACAGCCAGTCATTCAGATATAATTCCAGGATCTTTTCCACCATGGGAATTCTCACATTTGATTTCTTAACGTGTCTCCTACAATCCTTCCAAAAGAAAGTGGTGGAAGTCACTACTGAATCAAACAAGTAAGTAATGGAAAAATAGAGCTTCATTAACTAGATCTTGAATTGGAAAAGTAACATCCTTTCTTTGCACAAGAATAAAGTGTGTCTTTATTCAGATTTTGGAGGGTCAGAAGAGGGTGTCCAGGCATTGCCCATATGCACCCAAAAGCAAATCAACACAGTGCTGCTCCTTAACACTGCAGACATTTCTACCTGAGCGCTGTCATTTTTTAGATTTCCAGGGATTGGATTTTTGAGGGAGAGATAAGGACATTTCCCACATCTTTTTGTATAAAGGTAGATCTGTTTAAACAGATAGGATTTGTAGCTGAAGTTGTCTTTCTCTTTGGGGGAGGTTTTGATGGTGTCTTCTCCAGGGCACAATAGAAGATTCAGCTGTGGCAGTCGTTGGCTGTACCATACCTCAGTATAAGTCTGAATGTTACTTATATCTTATTTACCTTTGAATGGCACTACTGGCTTCAAAGACACTTGTCAGAGTGAACAAATGAACAAATGCTATGTCAATAGTGTTTTTCAGGAACAATCCCTGACTCTAGTAACAAATATTTGTCTTAAATTATGCAGTCACTTTTAATCCATTTATGTAACAAATTAAGACAAAATGTGAATTAACACTTCTCCTTGCTGTTTCTATGCTTGTTTTTCTTTCCCCACCCAAGACAAATAATTTTAGACAACATATTCCAAATATCCTGAAAATGTTTTTGATATCCAAGTGTCAAGATGCAATTTCCATAATAATACTTCTATGTTTTTGTGGATTTCTGATTTCAGTCTGATGTCACCCTGTGAGACAGACAGATTCATTTCCTGCAGTGTTTTTTCTGTTTCCATTATCTGCAGAACCTCAGGCAAACAGTTTACAGCATGGATAGTATCCCAGCACCAAGCAAGGGCTGTCATATCTGGTGAGGTTTGACAGTTTGCAGAAATTGCTCAGGGAGTTGGATCTTTTTCTTACAGATAATAAGGCTAGCATGTTTTCAGATTATCCGATTCACACATTCTAATGATTTCTTCTCAGTTTCTCTCTACCACAATGGCAAGCTGGAATGTCATTTGATGATTACCAGCTAAACATATGTAGCGCAGCCACTTCTGATGCATGAAGTTTTAATGCATATTGAGTACTCAGACTGACACAATTCGAAAGTGGCATCTGTTTTGGGACTTCATATTTTGGCTTTCAACTGGGTGTGAAATGAAAATTCTCTGATATGATGAAATATTATTTTCTCACATTAACATGGAAAGACAAAGTGTCCTTTAGGTCAGCTTACTGCATCTGTTTGCACTGAGTTTTTGCTAAAACACAAACGAACAATGCTTTTCTAACTCACTGTGGCATTTTGCTTTCTGCTACTTGGCCACAGCTAATCTTTCAAAATTGCCAAACCAGTGGTAAAGCAGGTTTTTCTTTAGTTGTTCCCTACTTAATTATCAGTGACTTGCAAACTGCCTTTCATTTTCACTGTGTCAATCCCAGTAATCCCAGGGCTCAAAACGACCAATTAGTGACATAGTGGCAAAAGAATTTCACCACTGTTTCTAGAGCTGAGTTTAGCTTCTATTTAGGAGTGTTAAGAGCCTCATAATTAGATTTCTTTCTTAACATCAACTAGTATCTGTAAAAAACCCCAGTGGTTTAAGACCAAGCAATCATTTTGATAGAATAGCAGTTATGCTTTTAACTGACATCTTGTGTACTGCAGTGCTCCCTTGTCTTCACTTAAAATTGTAGAGTTGTGGAAGCTGAGGTCTGTGCTTGAACTCTGCTCACACACTGTTTCCACTCTTTTGCTGCACTCATCCTTCATAGACAG